CTGGGAGCTTTCTGGTTATTCCCGGTTGGGTGGTGAGTGGTGGTGTTTTGGGTAAGATAAACACTATGTAATATTCCTCTTAAATGGAAGATTGATTGGGGGTAAATTCCCTGCAATGGTTGATGAAAATTGTTCCAGAAAACAAGCAATTTTTTAGTCCAAAATCTGATTCTTTGCTGGTTTTATATTCTGCCATTGCTGAGTTTCTTTTCCTGTCATTGCAAATATGATATGATCATTGTTTCCTGGGACATGGGAGATTGGTAAAAATCCTAACAGAATCGAGGACCGACTCAAAACCAGTCAAGATAAGCTAAGGAAGTCGGTAACTTTAGACCTTAATAATCGAATGTATGTCCCAAGTTGGGATGGTATTTTATTTAATATATTATATTATATTATATTATATTTTTATGTTTGCAATTTAAAATGTAATTAAAAAATGAGGCATCCTTGTTACAGTAAAGCTTGTCTTTCTAATTCAGTCAAGAGACTTTCACAGATATGATGAGTCTTTCTACTATACTAATAGGGTGGTTACTTTCAAATGATTTAATTTTCCTTTTTAGACCTTTGTCAACAACAGCCTTGCCTTGATATTCAATCCCCTTGAGGTGCTAGCGAGCATCCCTATTTGGTTTCCTTGACGTGTGTATTAGTCACATAAATGATTTCATTAAGGAAAGATGCTTTCAAAGTGCTCATCTCTTCGCTCTTCTCCTTCTGGTAATGCGAGTTTTTCGTTCTTGGTTCTTAAAGATTGTCTCCTACCCCTATTATGTTAGTGTCTCTAATCTCATCTATTTGTTGGAGTTCTCTTCAAAAAAGAGTCTAAAGTAGAGCACGAAGCTAGAAAGCCAAAAAGTTTAGTGAAATCTACCAAATGGGTAGATTTACCTAAACTCAGCCTGGAAACTAGCTTGCTAAACTGAAATTCTTGCTAAAAAGTTTTTGCTTCTTTCTTTATGTTCAAAATCGTCTTCTATCGACATCGTCTACTTACTGTTATTGTATGTTCTTCTTACCAAAACTATTCCCAAATCATCTAGTACTTTGTCTACTCTTCCTTTCCTGGTGAAGGAGAGAGAGTTTAACAAGCTTTGCGGCTAAGAAAAAAATCCCATCGAAAGCAGGAATCTTCGATCTTGACAAGGTAATTATATATACAGAGTTGAATAGCTTAACCATTTTAGATGCAAGCAGGCGTATTAATTTTAAAACTGTGATTCTTACCTTCCTATTGATATTGACTGCACCCTTCAAACATGAAGATGATGTAAACTCTCGAGAGGAAGCGAAGTAATTGAAAAGTTGAAAACATTCAATTATGAACTAAAGGCCAGATTTGAGAAGATTATAAACTATATTAGCTGCTACTAAAAATGAGTTGACACGAACTCTAATCGAACACCAACCATTTAAAAGGTAAGTGACTCTGAATCTTTTGAGAATGAGAAGACTGTTGAACTTGTTATAACTATCAGCTTTTGAAACCATTATGCAGTGTATGTTAGCTTAATATGACAAAAGGAAAGAGCACAGCAGCTCCAAATAGAGGAAAAGAGAGATAGTCCCAGGTAGTTTATTCTCCGCCTCTAAGGCTAAGGCTAAGAAATAGAGAATGAGAGAATACACTACTGGCTATATACAAATCCGATAACCCAATAATAGCTTACCAAAAAAGGTGAATTGGTTATTAAAAACTTTTACAAAAATTAATCTAAATTTAAGCCATTTTGATAACCAATAAATTAATCAAACAAATATGCACAAATAAGAAGGCAATAAGTAAAGAGGAAGAGAATATGCAAATGACGTAATTATGGAGGTTCGATTCCAACTGATGAGCTACGTCCTTAGTTACTAAGCCCACAGTCACAAGCAAGGTATTTTTACTATATTGATTGACTTAGTGTTTAATCAAATCCTTTACAATGCTTCCAGTGACTTACAATTAAGGAGCATTGATCCTTATGCAAAATTAAGCTTTACAAGACTCAATGTAACCCACAAATTTAAAGAATATAATTTTACAATTTGAAACTTCTCTCTCAATAAATGATAAAATTAAACATAAGTACCAAAGAAAAAAATGGGTTAACACTTTAATAAATAACAATTAATGAAGCTCGAGTGTTAAATAAGAAAAACTTTGATGAGTAGAATGCTTATCAAAAGTTAATTCAATCAAAAAAAAATTCACAAATAAGTGATTCATAAAGATAAATAAAATGTGTATTCAATGATTTCGCTTAAGAATATCTCACTTTAATGTTTTTAAAATTGTTGTATTGAATACAAAGTGAGGTGCTATTTTCAGCAATTATGCCAAAAGTTCTGACCATTCGGACGACTCAAACTAATGTCCGCTTTTGAACAGGACATCGAACTAGCCATTGTACATCAGAATTCAGAACGGTTAAAAATTTGACCGTTGGATGAACCGAACGTCTGCTAGGTCAACCAGACATCTATTTGAATAGAGTTTTCTCGAATTTTTCCTTCTTTGATTGTTTTGAAAAATGTAGACTTTTGAAGGAGTTTTCACTTAGAGGGTGTTTGATAAAAATTTTGAGAATTGATTTTTTGATATAAATGTGGGTCCTACCTGTGAGAGAAGAATTCAAAAATGGCGGCTGAAATAGTGAAATAACAGTCAAAAAATGAATTTTAATTGCTTAAAATCCCTAGCAAACGCTCCCTTAATTTATTAAGGTAAATTACATTTGTTAGAACTTTAAATGTCAAGTTGAGATTCTTACATTTTGAAAAATAATTTTTATGCCAACATTTTTAAAAAATAATTTTTCTCATGCATAAAAATTCATCTCAAGCTTTTAATGAATCATTGCTAAGGATTAAAGTATTTTATCTTTACATATGAATCCAAAAAATCTAAGTCTAATGTCTTCGATATTTGACGTTGCAGTACTTGTTTTTGGCTGATTTGACCGAATGCCTGGCTTCCATCTAAATTTTCATTGAACACCAATTACGAGTCTTTTGATAGTGATCTCTGTCTTCAATTGATCCACTTTGCAACAATAACTATAATGACTCGAATTCAATTGTTAGAGATAAAGGCAATTTGTTTGTTATAATCAAAACTTGTTGTCAACCATAGGTCAACAAAAAAGAAGGAGTGCAAAAGAAAAGAAAGGCTTAGCATGTTATCGTCTTTAAGTCGAACGGTGCTTAGTGAGTCTATATTGTCATATCCACAGGTTCGAGCCTACTTTCACCTTTTAGCATAGGAAAGGAGAATACAAGAGACCTAAAAAATGTACTATGGAAGGGGTGAGGCAAGAAAGCACACATAAATGTCATGTCTTTCTCGCACATTTACATCATCTAACTTGACTATTCCAAAGCTCACTTACCCTTTGTCTTCCCAAGGTTGTTGGCACGAAATTAGTTGTGTTATCTTTCTTAAGTTTTTTCATGATCATGCACTCGATGAAAGAGATTTACAAGTGGTATTGCACTTTTTCACTAATGCGACATGCTGGATTAAGCTTTCACCATTGTCCAAGCTCCCTACTACTTCTCAATAAGAGTTTGGACCATGTCTCAGTCCTAGTGTGGTTGATCTTCCAAAAAGACTGGCTAAGCATCATGAGATTTGTCCGCTTTTACCTGGCCAACTACCTAATACTACACAAGCTCATTAAGCAGTGATTTTTTTTTTTTTTTTTTTTTTTTTTTTTAGCTTTCTTCAAATTTTAGCCCAAATTGTTTGGCAAATTTCCACGTGTTATGCACCCATTCACCTCTTTGCTCTTAACACTTCACACCTCTTCTGTAAGACAAGTTACCTTTAGCTAGGAGCCGCTTTTCCATTTGTCCAACTCCGCAAAAATAAAGTTCGACGTGCATGTGTTAAGCTTTAGCTAGTGTTTTTTCTGAGTTAGGATCGAACTCTTCGACCATGCAGTGGTAGAATCGGTGAGCTAGGTGTACTATTTAATTGCACTGGATCTACTGTGGATGTTCTTACCAGAAAGGCTATGCTAGGATGTGAGGTCGATGAATTGGGATTAACTATTGATGGAAGAAGGTCTCTAAGCGCTTTTGAGTGAAGACGTATCAAAGTGAAAGCGCTTGGGATTATTGTACGTAAAATCCAAACAAATAGGTTAAAAGCAACAAATATATTTAAAAAAACAATTAATTAAATAGGACAGTAAATAAGAATTTTCTAATCCTTACCCCTAGGCACTCCTGCTTAGTATTCGCCCCGACTCTCAAAATTTCATGATAGAGCTGACTGGCCCGTCCCTACTCACCTTGTTTTCATTCCAAGTCCTATGACCTATCACAAAACAATCTTATTCTTATCAATAAATTACAAAGTAGAATTAAGTGCAAATTATGATTGTTAGATATAAATTATGATTATTGGATAATAATAATATATTTGTATTAGAAAATTAGAAATTGACAAAAATATCCACAAATGATAAAACTTTGAATTTTAAATATTTGGATGAATTTTCAAAAAATTTCATTTTTTCATTTTTATATATTTTTTTGTCTGTCCAGTTTGGTTTTAAACCACAATTAAATTTCTTAAATCTAAATCAAACCATTTTGACCGGTTTGGTTTGGGTCAAAACCATTTCGTTCATCGAGTCCACGTGGTACCAAATCGATGGTTTCTAAAATGCGGTTTCGGTTCGATTTTTTGATTTGATGATTTTTGCTTACACCCTAATCTCTACTTCATTCCACCTGTTGTTAATTAATGTTGTGCCTTTATTTCTGCATATTTTGGAGATCTGCTTACGCATTATCTCATTGGGTGGCACTCTAAATAATTCGCCACCAAAACAAACCTTCTACCACAGAGATTTTCTGCACTAAAAATGGCAGAGATTTCTGAGCAAATTAGCCAAAGTCAATGAAAATCTACTGAGATACGCAAGGCTCTTTCTATAAGCATCTGTTTTGGTTAGTAGAAAGGAGAAACCGTTCAATTTCACTTTTTTCCTTTTGGCGTAAAAAAAAATAAAAAAATCTCATTAGTTCCCAACTCTCTCTCTCTCTAGTCTTTAAAAGCTCGAGGAGAAAAGGCTATGGCAAAAAACTTTTATTGGCTTTGCTGTGTAAAGAAGAAAAAGAGAAACGTTAAAATAGTTGAAAGTTTTTGAAGGAAAAATGATTTCTTGAAAGTGGAGAATTTGAGAAGAAGGTCTGTTCTTGAGTAACTTTCAAGTAACATTTGAGTATTTTCCTTTTCTCTGGGATTATGATTACTGCTTTTCATTCTTCTTGAATTTTGCAATGGCCGCTCTCTTTCTACTCTAGATGTGATCATTACACACTTTTATTCAAACTTTTACACTGATTTTGTCTGTAATTTCTTGTTTTGTTTAGTGGAAGTTTCAATATATATATATATATTTTCAAATTAAACTATTTTTAAATTTGTTTCTTTCTGTGATGTTTTTTTGTCTTGTAATCCAGTTCTTTCACGAGGTAGTGTCAGATTTATTATTATTTTTTTAAAAAAAATAAAAAGGTTTCAAAAAATTTGAAAGGGGAAAAAAAACAGTCTTTATCCTTTCATTATTTTAAGGTTTTATGCCTTTCATAAACCTTTTGCTCCATCCTCTGTCTCTCTCTCTCACTCGTCAGTTCTTTGTTCGGAACATGTAAAGATTCCAAGTGTTTTTTCCCGTTGTATTTTGTACTTTTTCTCCCTGAAAACCTATACTTTTTTACTCATTCTCTCTCATTACCTTTGTAAATTTAGATTGTTGCAGAAATTTTGTGTTCTGAATTCAACAAAAAATGGGAAAAGCTACAAGGTGGTTGAAGGGCTTGCTGGGGATGAAGAAAGACAAGGAAAATTTGGAGAATAATTCAAATTATAGTGAAAAGAAAGAGAAGAGAAGGTGGAGCTTTGTTAAGTCCGGTAAGGATTCCGGCGGTTTGACTCAGATTCAGTTGACTGACGGGGCATGGATGAGATCTTACATTGATGAGACAGAGAAGGAGCGGAACAAACATGCCATTGCGGTGGCTGCTGCCACGGCGGCTGTAGCTGACGCTGCTGTTGCTGCAGCTCAGGCAGCGGTGGCTGTTGTGAGGCTCACCAACCACGGCAGAGGAGGTTTGTTCCATGGTGGCAGAGAAAGGTGGGCCGCCATCAAGATTCAGGCAGTTTTTAAAGGCTTTTTGGTAAGTGAGATTTCAATTTCAGTTTCAATTTCATTATTCACTTCAATTGTGATTTTTTGAATTGAAATTCATTGATGTGTTCATTGATTCGCAATAATATCTTTGTTGATCTGGAATTTGATCAGACAGTATCAACGTTATTACAGTCAATAAATGTATATATTTTCCTAATGAAGGACCCTAATTAATTAGAAATGTAATTGACTATGCGTGTAAGTCGCAATTAGGCTTATCGAATTGTGGGTTTTTCTCCTGCCAGGCCCGAAAAGCTCTACGAGCTCTACGAGGACTCGTAAAATTACAGGCTCTCGTTAGAGGCTTCCTTGTACGAAAGCGTGCTGCTGCGACATTATACAGAATGGAAGCCCTCATTCGAGCACAGACTGCTGCTCGGTACCAAAGGAATCGTCGTTCAATAAGTAACGATTACAGACTCCAACCAGAAATACGCGCTAGGAACTCCATTGTAAGAATTGGTTATTTGGGTATCGAAAGAATTTATCGAATTGAATGAATGCTAACTAACAAGATTGTTGCAGGAAACTAAGAGCGAGTTCCATAGCAAGAGAATATCAGCTTCTTATGACCTTTCCCATAATGCATTTGATGAGAACTCGAAAATAGTTGACGTCGACCCTCACAATCCCGGATCAAGATCAAGGTCTCGCAGAATGAATTCTTGCGTTTCACGGTGCTGCGATGACCAATACTATCAAGGACTTCCATCTCCTCTTCGAGTTCGATTATCAATTCCCGATCATCGTAGCTGCCATCAAGATTTTGACTGGAGCTTCCTGGCTGAAGATTACAAGTTTTCGACGGCACAGAGCACTCCTAGATTCGTGACTTGTGGACGGGCAAGTGGTCCGGTTACACCAACCAAGAGTGTATGTGGGGACGGCTTCTTCAAGCAATACTCCAACTGTCCCAACTATATGTCGAACACTCGTTCATTCAGGGCAAAGTTAAGGTCTCTAAGCGCCCCAAAACAAAGACAGGACTCCGACCCTAAGAAGCGGCTTTCGCTGAATGAAATAATGTCTTCGAGGACTAGCTTTAGTGGTGTTAGAATGCAGAGGGCAAGTTCTCAAGTTCAACAAGATTTTGATTAATTTCTAAGAAATTAGCTTGTTTTGAGTAAAATAGCTTCTCTATGCTTTGCTTTTCTAATGGCTCTCTTGAAATCTGATAGAGTAGAACAGAGTTGCTGTTGTAAATTCCTTCACAGAGTTGTTTTCATCAATGAAATCAAAGCATTTTTTTTTCCTCACTGGATTGTCCGAGTATTTGGATTCTCTTTTTGTTTGTAAAATTTTATAATTGCTTATAAGTTAATCAAACTTATTTTTATTTACATATTTTATAAAACTTACAAATGTTGCTGCTTGAGATAAATGATTTATAAGCACCTAAAGCTTAGTCAAACAAGAACAACTTCATTTGCCTTCATGCCAAGCACTAAGCTCCTGTTTGTCACTCATTATTTGAAAAAATTAAAAGGTTTTGAATAGAATTTTTTGGAGAATATGTGAGTAAAAAGTAAGAAAATTTTATTGGTTTGTGTGTAAAATAATTTATTATGTAAATTTGTGGTGAAAAACGATACTGTAACAAATAATTTAAAATTTTAAAAAATGACAAACAGGCTCTAAATCGTTGAATTTCATAATATGTTTGGTGTTACATTATTCGACTGGTCCTACTCTTCTGTTTCATATGGCTAATTTTGTCACATTGAACTGAGACAGCTTATTTAGGTTGTACATTTTTTACACTTGGGAGGGGCACAATTCTCAATAGTTGATCATTGCCAAGTTTTCCTCCTTATGTAGTGCCTATTTATGCCACTGTACAAGAATATTCTTGCTTTGCCATAGTATGATAACAGCCGTGACTAATTTTCAAATTTTAAAAATCTAAGTGATGCGCCCTTGTTTGAGTCCCTTTTGGTCAAAATACATTTTAGAATAATGTTTTTTTTTAAAATATGTAATTAAAAAGTAAGAAATTTTTTTATGATATAGAGAATGATCTATTTATAATTTTATGCAAAAATCTCTCATTTTTTGTTGTTTCATTATTAATTTTATGTTTAAAGAAGAGGACAAATCTATCTTTTAATGATCAAAATGGATTGAGGGACGAGTTCGTTTCATCATCGAAAGATTGGAAATATAAAATAATATTGTATGTAAGTTGAAAACTTTTCCTTTTATACCCCCATTAATTTTCATTCTATTACATTTTATTTTTCTATCTTCTATTTTAAACCACATAATCTTTTATAAAATAATATTATATGTAAATCGAAAACTTGTCCTTCTTTTTCAATCACTCATTTTTCAAAAAGATTATTCCACCCATTTCCATTTCCACAACATAGGACCAGACAGAGGCATATTATGCTAAGAGAAGATTGAAGATAAATTTATAATAATTTGCAAATATTGGAGACTACAAGTTTCTGTAGCCCACTTTTTGGATACTATTTTTTGTTTAAAAATTAGAAATAGGATTTTGCTGTTTCTCTCGGGATTAGCGTACTTGGCCCTGGATCTAATCCTTGTCATTGTTTTTGTAGTAGAACCCTTAGAAATATATGAATCGAAGAGGAAAATTATATTATAATGTATACTTTTTAAGTCAAATTAAAAGGTAAACGAAAAGAGAAAGTATTGTGATAAAAAATTAAAAAAAGTGACTCAATACATACCAGGGCGAAGGTCGCCTCGTACCTTGGATCTAATCGTTGACCCCTTTTTGCAGCAAAATCCCTAGAAATATAGGAATCAAAGAGGAAAATTATATTATAATGTACACTTTTTAAGTCAAATAAAAAGACAAACGAAAAGAGAGAGTATTGTGATAAAAAAATTTAAGAAAAAAAAAAGTGACTCAATACACACCTTTATTCTTTCTCTTTTCAAAACTATTACTATTTTTTTTTTCCTGAATCACTTATGCCACGTGGCATTTTGTATGATCTTTAAAATTTTAATGAATAATAATGATTAGGGTTTGATTTGATTGATGTATTTAGGGATGTCTTGAAACTTGTGGCCGGCTCATTATCTGCGGGTTACTTGGTAAAAAAACACATTTATGAGGACGTTTTGGTAATTTGCAGCCACAGACACGCATTATCGTCACCTTGTGCATTGCGTCGAGGAGATCGTTTTCATCTTACATGTTTTTGGACAGTAATTTAGATTCTCAAAATTACCCATGTTTTGTTTCCGGAATGACATTATTGTCCTGTATCACAATTATCGAGTTTTCAAATTAAAAAAAAAAATTTATTTGTCTTCTAATTTTATTTTTCTACTAAATTCAGATAACAAAAATGCCCAGTGTACAAAAATTTATTCACAGATATTTTACAAGGCTCCTCACTGTGCAAGGGCCTCACATGTATTAAAAAAAATTACGTGGGCCCCATGTATGTGTGTATTCTGAAAAATGTCTATAAGGCTCCTCTCTGTACGTGAAGCATGGCTGTTCGGATAAATATATATGAACCTATTACCGAAATGAGTACCGCTATCAATATCTAGGCCCTGTTTGTTGGACATTATTTTGAAATGAATTTTGTAAATAATGAATTGTTGGAGAATATATAGTTAAAAAGTAGGAAAAAATTTTAAATTTACATGTAAAATATTTTATTTGAAAAATCTGTGATTCAAGTTTTAGAAAAAAAATGATTTCTGAAATAAAGAGAACCAAACAAGGGCCTAATATGATTAATCCAGCAAATAATAGTATAATACCAATACACGTCCGATATGTTATAAGTAATGAAAGATTATACGAAAAACTCTTTTTTTTTTTATCGACGAATAATTGATTGAATTACAAATGGGGTTGTGTCATAAGTTTCTTCATAAGAGAATGTATCGATCCAATCTAATTTGAATTTTTTGTTTTGAAATATGAAATTGTGATTCTCGATCCAATCTAATTTGAATTTTTTGTTTTGAATATGAAATTGTGATTCATAGCAACACGAGATAAATCCTAGTTTACCCATGAGTCCATGACATATAGGTTTTAGGTGCCTCTCATATTAAAATCATAAAACTTATGAAAACAAAAAATAATAATAACAATACTCTTGCTTTTCTAAAAACCTTGAAAAATGAATTAATTTTACAATGGAAGTTTGAAATCTAAACACCAAATCAAGAAAAAAAAATAAAATATTAACCCTAATAAAGTGGCATGTTGCTTCTAATTCAAACACTACTGTTTGATTAAAGTATTATCATATCTAAATCTCTTGTTCCAAGAATAACATGGAAGGTGATTAGTGATTTGTGGTTGGTTAAGAGGCTAAAGCTCTCGTCATCCAAACCACAATTCAAAGATCATAACAAAAAATAACATTATAAACACTATCTAAAGATCTATGGAGGCTTGTTTAGCAATTAATTAATGCAATAAACAATTTTAGTTAATGCAAATCGAGGGCCTTAAATTTTTTATAATCCTATGTAGTGGTTTGAGGAACCTTGAATTTTGAAAAGGGTTAAGTGATTTACTAATTTATTCTCCGGTTCTGTTCACGAGTTTTTTTTATAGGTAGTATTCAAATTTTACGTGTTTTTATAGACATCTAAAGATGTAGATAACGCTTTTAGGTCTTGTATAAGAACATTTAATAGAAAATTAATTGAAACATTTTAAGTTCAATGTTGGATTAAGGGTGTTAAATCAGGTGAGCCGCTCGATTTGCCTGTTATAGGGCTTGACTAGGTTCGCTTCAAGAAATTTAAGCTCGACTCACCCAATTCATGCTAGCTGCTCGTTAGTGGATGCTTGGTCTGCTAGTGGAACTAGTCGAGTCGACAAGCGACTCGCCCCACTTAACATCCTTAGGTTGGGTTGTACTTTAGCTTCTGCTTCAATTCTTTGTTGTAGTGTGTTTTATTGTGGGATAATTAGGCCCAAAACTTTTAAAAAGAAAATAATTAGAACAATATAGTTAAAGTTATTATATCTTTAATTATGTATTAATTACGCTCTTAATCTGATGAAATTCATCCAAAACAACGGCGGAACCTCTCCAATCTAAATTTTATCACTGCTTCAAATTTTTATTATTAAAAAATTTAATTTGATGATGTATTTTATGTTATGATTATCCATTTTGAGCGATTCAAAAATCTGTTAGAAATTTGCAAAGCGATCATCATAAATATGTAATGGACGATGTTTAAATATTAAAAATTATCTTGCATGAATTATAGAACGCAAAACCATAATTATTAATTTTTCTTTATATTTCTGTTCCTTGTCGATATCAATGTAAAAATTTATTAAGTTTAAACCATGATTGTTGAGTTCATTTCTTGTGCCCATTTTTTGACTTGTTATTATGAATTCGATGTTCATCATTTTTAAATTCGAAATTTGTATTTCAAAGTTTATCGTGAATACTTCGAAAGATAACAAAAATCTCACCGGACAAGTGAAGAAAGTGGACTTTGAATAAGTCAAAAGGGGTAACATAAAAACATGAATTAGAAGAAAAAATAGCTAATTTGTTGTCCTTAAAATTAGTGACGTAGGTATATACTTTGAACTCCAAAACTTCGCCTAATTTAGCTTATGTAAAAAATAAGGACACATCAGTCGTTTAATTGATCGAATTGCAGACAAATGATAACAATGCACTGTTCTTGTAAGAACTTAAAGAAACAATACTTTTTTACAATAATATATGTACTCAAAAGTGATATGATATAATCGAAAAGTGACATGATACTTTTTAACAGTTAAATCCTTCAAAAAAATAAAATTTACTTTCCTAATAGATGAAGACATTAATTTTATTCTTATCTGCAAAAATAATACAAATAAAATAATATGAGATTTTTTTTTTAGATGTCAGAGTATGTCAGTTTTAAATTTCAGTATATTAATTCATATACAAAACAAATAAAGTGTTATATTATGTTAATTTTTAGTGTAAAACAAAATTTGAATTCATATTCATATTTAAAATTTCACAAAGACCTTATATGCATCTCTTTAATTGATCCAAATAGAATTCAAATGAGATAACTAGTTTGCACCTTTCTTTAAAAAAGTGACATAACATGTCATTTCCAGTACGTTAATTCATATGCAAAGACAAATACATTTTTGGCTAAGCTTAATTCATCAAAAGGTGACATAGCATGTTGTGCAATTTTTAATTAAATGTCACACAATTAATTTTAATAGAACAATACATTTTTAGCTAGGCTTTCAATTTAATTATGAGAA